ATATATGAATTATATAATATATTAATTATAATAATTTAATTATACAATATATGATTTAAAATAGATTAAAATATAATATATAAATCATATAACACATCAATTATAATAATTCTACAGAATCCTACAATATTAACAATTTGACTTTAACCGCTCTAACATCCCGCCCCCCTTGAAAGGATTTTCAATTGGTAATAGTGCGAGTTTGTGGATTGGACGCCGTATTACTCCTTTTGGGGTTTGCACATCAACAACACGAACCAAATTATCTGGACCCCTGATGCAATGCACGATTCGGCCCATCAACCAGCGTTGTGGAGGCATATTGTCTTCATGGATTAAAACCAGAGCCCCCTCGGTGATGTTAGATTGTTCTTCTGTCCATTTGGTGCGTATCTGCAGCTCATTCAGATAGTCTCTAGACCATCTGCGCCAGAAGTGATGTTTGACTGCGGTTATACGAGACCATTTATCAATTAATGAAGCAGATTCATACTGAGGACTTGGTTCAGATAAAGTTTTGAGCGGCCCACCGATAAGAAAATGTGCTGGCGTTAGCGCTTCATAATCGCTCGGGTCACAAGAATGAGGTGTGATTGGTCGCGAATTTAAGATAGCTTCGATTTCAATCAGTGCTGTTCCAAGCTCCTCAAAGGTGAATCGAGTATTTGATAGTGTTCGATACAGATGGCCTTTCGCGCTTTTTACAGCCGCTTCCCATAGACCTCCAAAGTGAGGTGCTCGGGGCGGTATAAAATTGAAATTTATGAATTGGTTGCTGCAAAAGGTCTGCAGCATCACTTGATTAGACTTCTCGAAAAACATTCTTTTTAACTCTGCTAGTTTGTTGTTAGCCCCAACGAAGTTCGTGGCGTTGTCGCAATAGATGTCTGATGGTAACCCTCGTCTACCGATTAACCTTTTCAGTGCTGCAATAAATGCCTCCGTAGATAAGTCTGACACGGCTTCTAGATGAGCTGCCTTTGTAGACAGACAAACGAACACGGCTATATAGGTCTTATATGGAACCCGTCCCCGAATTCGGAGATACGTTAATATCGGACCGCAAAAATCTACCGCAGTACGCGCGAATGGACGGCTTGGAGTGAGGCGTTCGATTGGGAGATTACCCATCATTTGATTAAGTAGTTTGGGTTTATAACGCACGCAGTGAATACACGAGTGCACGACTCGGCGTGCAATTTCTCGAATATTAATTATCCAGAAGTTTAGTCGAGTAAGGGCAATTAGTGCTTTTGCGCCTGCATGATAGTTGCACAAGTGTATATGCCGAACATAAAGTTCCACAAAATAACAGCCCTTCGGCAACAAAATAGGGTGACGTTGGCCTACTGAGATGTCACTCAGCTCGAGGCGACCTCCCACCTTTAGTAATTGATAACCGAATACATTGTCCAGGAAGGGATTTAGATGCTTTAATGTACCTTCGGCTGGGTTCCCTCGTTGTAGGCGTTGTATATCAATTTCGAAGAATTGCTGTTGGATGACCCAAATAATACAGTGCAATGTCTTTTGTAGCTGAATAGGTTGGAGGGTACATTCTCCGTTCTTCAATTTATTCTTGGTTACATGATAAAAACGCTGTACCTGCGCTATTACTCGTAGCATCTTAGTGTATGAACTATATCTTGACAATACCTGTAATACGTAGTTGTCTTCATTTGTGTTAACGAATACAACCTTTCGCGTCTCTTTATTGACTTCTTCCATATCCAGGTTGTGACATTTCAAATGCGGCCAGTATTTATCAGCGAGTAACAAAAATTCCGGCCCCGTAAACCAACAAGACTCTGATAATTGGCGGATGTTACAGCCGCGCGACACAACATCTGCCGGGTTGGATTGGGTAGGAACGTGTCTCCATTGCCCATTTGCGGTAATATCTTGAATTTCCGCTACTCGATTGCCAACGAATGCAGACAGGGTTGATGAGTGCTGCTTCAACCAATGTAATACAATCTGTGAATCAGTCCAAAAAAACGTTTCACCCTTAAATTGCGCAAATATTGGTTGGACCTTCTGATACAGTTTGGCAAGAAGTAAGGCACCACAGAGTTCTAGTTTAGGTAGCGACTTCCGCTTTATAGGTGCCACACGGGATTTTGCAGTGAATAGCCTGACCGTCACCTTACCTGATGTGTTTTGTGATCGGAGAAATATACAGCAACCATATGCGCGTATTGAAGCGTCACAGAAACCGTGTACATCAACCTGTTGATAGTTTATGGATAGGCAGTATCTCGGCACCTTAACCGATGAAAGCGTTGTAAGATCTTGAATAAATGTTTTCCAAGCTGAGTGAAGATTTTGAGGGATTGACTCGTCCCAGTCCACACGCAAAAGCCACAATTCTTGCATCATAATTTTGGCTACGAGTATGATCGGTGCTAGTAATCCAAGCGGGTCGAATAATGAAGACGCAAGGGATAAGATGGTGCGTTTTGTTACAATATGACCTGGTTGTGCATTGAACGAAAATAGGAAAACATCTTGCATTTGGTGCCACTTGATGCCTAGAGCGCTGGTGACTGTATCTGTATCAAGATTCAAACTCTTTGTTGTAGTATCGCTAATGAAGTCATGATGGTTTGAATGCCATTTGTCAAGATCGAAGCAACCCTTCTGTAGAATGGCCGTTAACTGATGTCTGATATTGGTGAGTTGATCAATGGAATCTGCTCCACCTAAGAAGTCGTCGACAAAGAACGATGATTTAATGAGTGCAGCGCCTATTGGGTATTGTGTTTCAAATTTGTCCGCCAAATACTGCAAACTCCTGGTTGCTAGAAAAGGTGCTGATGCAGTACCATAAGTGACTGTATTCAACTCGTAAGTACTAACAGGATCGGACTCCGTATCTCGCCAAAAAATATATTGGAATTTTCGATCTGGTTCATCTATCAGTATCTGTCGGTACATCTTAACAATGTCAGCCGTCAAGGCATATCGGTGCAAACGAAATTGAAGTAGCAACAAATATAACTCCGACTGAATTGTCGGGCCGACCAGTAGAATATCATTTAATGAACGTTGCGAAGTTGTTGGACATGACGCATCAAAAACCACCCTCAGCTTGGTCGAAGTGCTCGACGGTTTTAAAACACAATGATGAGGGATATAATAATGAGGTTCGTTGGGTTTCGGAGTCTCAACACGCGTCATGTGTCCGAGCTCTCGATATTGTTTCATGAATTCTTGATAGTCTTGCTTCAGTGCACGATTAGATGACAATCGCCGTTCTACAGAATAAAAACGGCGCAAGGCGATATTGTGTGTCAAACCAAGACAATCTGGTGAATCTTTGAATGGTAACCGAACGACAATTCTTCCCATCGCATTTTGGTGAACCGTTTCACGATATAATGACTCACACGCAACATGTGCTGGTGACCATGACTTTGAAGCCGATTGCACTTCCTCTATCTTCCACATCATTTCTAATTGATCGGAGACTGTATCTTCAACTGATAATAGGCATTTTGCTGCTGGTGATGCAAATGGCTGACCCTTGTACTTGCCAGATACAATCCATCCTAATAGTGTTTTTTGAAGTACTGGAAAATTTTCACCTAGTTTGATTTGACCGACAGACAAAATATCAAAGAAACTTTCAGCTCCAAGCAAGAGATCAACGCGCTTGGATTTAAAGAATTGCTCATCGGCGAGAGGTGTATTTGGTGGAACCTTCCACGACGATATATCGATTTCAGAACTTGGTTGATATGCGATGTGATTCGTAATACCAAAGTTTAAAGCAAGTTCAAGATTTGAATGACGAGATTTGATTGATGTGAGCGTCTGATACTTTATGTTGGTCAACGAACTACCAATACTGGAAACATGCAACCGATGTTTATGTTTTGCTAAACTAAGCTTCTTTGAAAACTCCTCCGTTATGAAGTTGACCTGAGAGCATGAATCAAGCAAGGCTCTACCCACTTGATAACTTCCCGATGAATCCTTCACTAAAACCAATGCAGTAGCTAGAATTATTTGCTCGGCCGATGACATATTAAAATGGGAATGGCTGGCAACGTTGTCGTTGGGCATAGCAGCGTGTTCTGTGCGTCGTGATGATCCCGCGCTCTTAATATTCGTTGGCAATTGCGAATGATGCAAGAGAGTGTGATGTGGCTTTGCGCAAACCTTACATTTAAACGTTGATGTGCAATTAACCACATGATGGCGTGGCGATAAGCAGTTTATGCAGAGTTTTAGGCTCTTCACCTTTTCAAACCTTTGAACCACCTCCAGTGCCTTAAAACGATGACAATTCTGTATTAGGTGTTCATTGCTAGAACAAAATGAGCAAGAATTGCTGGATGTAGATGCAACAAATGCGTATTGTTTTGAGCGTCTGTTACTCTTGGAGTTACGATTATTAGGTTTACGTTGTGATGATGACTGATTGCCGTTTCCACTGTCGAGTGATTCGAGAAACTGGCAATGCCTATCCAATAATTTTGAGCAATCTTCCCAACTGGGTAATGTGTCGAAGTTACGCGATTCATTCCATTTCCTACGTGTAATTGCGTCCGTTTTTTGCATGATTAGCGAGATAAGTAGAGCCTCACATATTTGTTTCTCTGTACCTAGCGAACAGAGTGAACCATACAAAGCGGATGCATTGTTTACCAGACTACGAAGTTGTTGGCTTGACTGACCCGATACTGCTGGTAGATCAAATAGTGTCGCGATATTTTCGGCGAAGATTAGGCTATTATTGTCATAGCGCGATTTAAGCCTATCCAGAGCCTTTGGATAGTTTTCATTCGAAATAGGAAATGCCTGTACTGTCTCTAGAGCTTGACCAGTAAGGCAATTCAGTAAGTGATTAAATTTTTCAATATTTGTGAGGTATATTTCGCGATCTATGATTTGGAGAAACGAATTAATAAAATTGTTATAATCCGAGTACTTACCACTGAATGTAGGTAATTTTAACAGTGGTAATTTTTTACTTGAGGTGGGCATCATTGCTGTTACGTCTAGCACTGATGCATTGTGGGCCTCTTCCTGCAGTTGAGACATGATTAATATTTTGGTGGAAACGTATAGGTCTTCTAATTCATCTCTAGCTGAGTCAGTTGCATCTAATTTCTCGATCAACGTCTGAAAAGCTAAGATTTGTTTAAAATATGATTCTAAAATACCTAGTCGACATTTCAGTTCTGGTTGTGAGAGCGAATTACTCTTTCCTTTGACGAACGCCTTGATTCTTGAAATACTCGCTTTCGTCGAGGCTCGCTGTTGTTTTAGTTCTGACAGTTCTGCCGTAGTGGTTGGCTCTGCCGTTGCCATTGAAACAGTTGTAGATATTTGAGAACAGCAAAGGATTTGACGAAGTCGAAAAGTCACAATAGCAACAGTGAGCTTTCCGAAATTGAACTGCTCTTACGGTGGTTGTTGTCAGACGCGACGTTGACGAACCCGCACACTTACTGATTGGAAGCAAATATTAACCAGTAATCAACAAGTAAGTTAACTTGTTGTTGTTGTTGTAATTGTTCAGCGTGACCTTGATGCGGACACGAGGTTCTATTTGGCGCTTAACAGAACCTAAGCCGAGAACCATAGAATGCACAATAGTACACACGTACGATAGTATATAGTATATATGTACAGATGTACGATATTATTAAAGTTAGCACACTTTAGATATATAACCGTTTAGGAGCAATACTCACACGAGCACATTATGGTTACAAATTAACCACAAACAATAAAAGCGAAAGTATGTACAATCAACAAGTAAAGATAGCTTGTTGTTGTTATTTTAACTGTCGAGCACGACCTTGATGCGGACACGAGATTCTATTTTGAGGTTAGCGGACCTAAACCGAGAACCACCAATTGCACAAGAGTATATACGTACGATAGTACATATGTAATATATATATAGATGTACGATATATTATAATGGTTAGCACACGTTAGCTATATAGCTGGTTAGAAAAAGTATTCACACGCGCACATTAATGGTTACAATTATCCAAAAACAATAAAAGCGAAAGTATGTACAATCAACAAGTAAAGATAGCTTGTTGTTGTTATTTTAAATGTCGAGCACGACCTTGATGCGGACACGAGGTTCTGATTTGAGGTTAGCGGACCTAAACCGAGAACCACCAATTGCACAAGAGTATATACGTACGATAGTACATAGGTAATATATATATAGATGTACGATATATTATAATGGTTAGCACGCGTTAGCTATATAACTGGTTAGAAGAAATATTCACACGCGCACTTTAATGGTTACAAATTAACCAAAAACAATAAAAGCGAAAGTATGTACAATCAACAAGTAAAGGTATCTTGTTGTTGTAATGTCGAGCGCGATCTTGATGCGGACACGAGGTTCTGTTTTGAGGTTAGCGGACCTAAACCGAGAACCACCAATTGGACAATAGTATATACGTACGATAATTCATATGTAGTATATATATAGATGTACGATATATTATAATAGTTAGCACGCGTTAGCTATATAACTGGTTAGAAGAAATATTCACACGCGCACTTTAATGGTTACAAATTAACCAAAAACAATAAAAGCGAAAGTATGTACAATCAACAAGTAAAGGTATCTTGTTGTTGTAATGTCGAGCGCGATCTTGATGCGGACACGAGGTTCTGGTTTGAGGTTAGCGGACCTAAACCGAGAACCACCAATTGCACAATAGTATATACGTTCGACAGTCCACAGAATAGCCGTGTGGAAGAAATGCACACACGCGTACACTAATGATTACAAACTTAATAAGAAAAAATGATTACCACACGTGGGTAATATTTAGATTTTTTAACAAATTGGAGATTAATAACCACTATTAAAATTGCAAAAAGTCCTGTCACGGTCGCCAATGTAAAATTATAAGCGTTTTTATAATTGGATTTTATGATCTTTATTTCAATTTCTTTAACACAATGTAAATTATAAACGTTTTTATAATTGGGTTTTGATTTCATTTAATTTATACAATTGAATTTATACAATTTCGGTTATTGATTGTTTAATCACTTTTTTATGTGTACCCGTGTGTTGACACGTTCGCGATCGAAAAACAAGAGACAGACTCAAACCAACGGAGTTTACTTGCAGCCCAAAAAATATAACAAAAAAATTGCTCATCTCGAGCGCAAAAACAAAAGGCAATAAAAACAAGACTTAGAACCGTTGGTTTGATTACATCTTATACAGGGTTAGTTAGATAAATTAATTAACCATATATATTAACCATATAAAATATTATATATGAATTATATAATATATTAATTATAATAATTTAATTATACAATATATGATTTAAAATAGATTAAAATATAATATATAAATCATATAACACATCAATTATAATAATTCTACAGAATCCTACAATATTAACAATTTGACTTTAACCGCTCTAACAATATATTTTTATTCTCTTACATATTCAATTATTTAAACATACATTATTAAATATTATTTTATCCGTACGTTGGTACTGTGTAAACATATGACAAATACTTTATATTTCGATCATTTCCCTTGTGGGAAATTTATTTTTAAGGGTTGCTTTCTTTGTCTAATTTTCCTTACTTATTTCTAAGTAAGTTAAAAAGCATGATATGTCTTTGTATGGTGATTGAAATTTACTTAGTAAGTCACACTTAGTAAGTAACCAGTGGAAACGTACTATTACTCATACAAGGTTCTTTTATAATATGTTGATCTGATGTTTATTTTTAAATAATTCCGTGCAAATAGATTTTAAAATTTCTTTTTTTTGTAGTAAGTTGGTACTAATGTAATATATTACGATGCTTACTTTAACAGTGATGTGTCGATTAATGTAGTTCAGTCGATTTTGTTAGTTTACTTGAAATACATTCTGCTAATTTTGCTATTGACAATTCATTGAAACAAAGAATTTGCATTAATTTTTGTGCTGCAAATGGAATTTCCTGTGTTGAGTCACTGATATTGTTGAATAAGACTAATGATGACTCTGTTTTATAAAAAAACATAAGTACAGGAGTGCCACAAAATATTTTTGAAGATGGTACAATAACTCTTCTGCTTGAAAGAATCAGCTAGGAAACTAAATATGTCTCACCAATCAGTTCAACAAATTTCAGTTGACTTTTCACGTATTAAACCCATACCAGTAAGGCTTGTTCCAAAAGAACTGAATTTTATTGCAAAAACAGTATCGGAATATATGACTAAAGAGATAGTAGTAAAGTAGTGATCTCACATTATCATAACCGCTGTAA